TGAAAGACTGATTCAATCTGCAGGAACCATAGGTCTGGATGAGAACGCCAAAAGGGTGGCAGATTGCAGTTGTAAACTGCGTCAATGGCATAACTCTGCTGCTGGTTGAGCATCATGGGGGCTGGCAACGAATTTACTACTGGTTGGGCATATGCTTGCTGATAGCTCACCGGGTGATTTGTTGGATTAAAATGCACCGCGGGATCAAATGCTGTACTGCCGTGAGGGCCAGAAGGTTGAGGCATAGGAATACTCACTGACGAACTCCTGTCTGGTTGCTGGTTGGTAAAAGAGCCGTTTGCAGCCAATTGCTGATCAGGATCTACTGAGGAGTCGAAATTGCTTTGCATCTTGATTTTTTTAGTAGTCAGACACGTCTTTTAGGTTAGAGGCCGAGTGGTACGCGGAGATATATCACGTCGGGGTCACCAGTTATAGCTACTACTGCTATGTGTTTGCTTGATATATCACCAGCGAATGAAAACACTGTTTTACTAATAACTCGGTTTAATTCTGGGCACTGAACATACAAATAAATCGAAATACTTTATTTTGTTAACAACAACAACACGATATCATAATTGCGCGGCAACAAGCTGACTAGAAGTAAACAACAACCTGGGACAGCTGTCTTCTGTCACGTCACGTCAGGCCGCCAGGGTTGTACACAACGGACTCGCGGAACAATGACGCCACAAAATTTTGATTTTTTTTTTTTGAATGATGACAGCACTCTGTTTATAGCTTTTCCATGGTAATTTAGCGGAAAACAATAATTCCATGAAAAAAATACTTCGAATTGTTATTAAAAGTTACCTACCTAATGTTTGAGATAAGGCATTATTATGGAAATATTGAGTGATAGCGAAGAATTTTCACTAACACCCCCAGAAATTACAGAAAAGGCGACAAATGCAGGTAATAATATACTACCGGACAAGTCCAAGAAAATTTACGAAATATTATATGGACAATGTATGGATTGGAAACACCAAAAACACATCGTCCTTCTCAGAAAATGTTTTGATAGTATATTTTGAAGAACAACAAAAAATGAATCCTTCAACTGTATGGATTACTCAATTATGAAATCTCTATTCAAAGTTAAGCATAATGTTGACATATCTAAATATCATAAGTTTTATCAATGACAGTAGAAAAAATAGTGTATGCAACTCTCATGTAATGGCCATTAATACACTCGCATGTTATATACGAAACTCGCCTGCGGCTCGTTTCGTATCCTACAACATGCTCGTGTATTAATGGTTATCATTACATGATCATTGCATAATATACTATTATCGCACGAGCCCTATATTAGAAAACGAGCCGGAGGCGAGTTTTCTAAAGGCTCCTCTATTTTGATAGAGGAGCAGATGTTTTTCGAGAGATAGGCTCCCGAACGAGGATATTGGAAAAAAAACACAAATGCTGTTGAAATAATATCTTATCATGTCGCTCGAATGAATAATGAAAGGTAGACAAGATTGTTCCCAAACTCGAGACCATGACAGGAATCACAAAAAGCAACATGGCCAGAGGCTCTGAGAAGAAAAGACTAGACGCATGAGGCGTGAAATAGGAAAAACTGGATAAACTACCATATGACCAGCCGTGGAAAACTGTAGCTGATACTAGACAATCATCAGTCTGGGATCACTCAATTCAGCTCTATATCTACTGAATTTGTTCCGACTCCTTTATCACAAACTTACTTGTTTGTGCAATGTATCTAAAATCATTTCTGTGATTCTCTGATAGAGCTTTAAAAAAAAAAAGGAAAATAATTATTAATTCAAGAATTGCCTACAATCTCTATGAACTTGAACTATGAACCTTGCAAATTAAAAGTAATATCTATTTCTTTGAAAATAATTTGCCTGTTGAAATACCTACTTTTCTACTGTTAAACAATGAAAGTTTCTTGGGGTATCGGTCGTTGTGAAGGGCTAGGAAAGAAAACTATCTTTTTCCACTTTCTGCTGTTATGTATGTGCACGTGCACACATTGTGGTTCGCTTTCATGACGTTTGCTTTACTTAACAATGCCAACGGTGCCCAACAGGAGATTGTTAGTAACTTAGTAGTCAGTACTGTCGCTGTAGGCTGGCTGAGACGCTTACCCAGAAAGCAGCGCGTGCGCGTGAATGGGCTAGGGAGTAGGAAGCCAATATCTCATGAAGCAAGCGGGGGAAGCGCGGGGAGTTTTAGCATGTTATTTCAGACAATAAATTGAACTCGTATACCAATTTTAAGCTGGTTATGAAAAATTTTGTATTTAACTCCTAATAATCCTGGGCTATGTGCTCAATTGTGCCGGTGTTAATGAAAATTGTGCTATTTTCCATGCATCAAAAAAAGTTGAAACAAATCCGGGGGTTGATTTTATTTTTGTACTGTAATTTTTTCCAGTGGTTGAGAAAATTGAATATTCCTTTCTCGTTTGTTGTGATCTGTTATTCAATTTTTTTTAAATTTAAATTTAAAAACCTTTTCGATTTTGACCACAAAACAGTACAGATATAGACTTTTCCAATAGGGTTCTCACGAATCCGATATTCAAGCTTCGTCAAGTTAGCCCCCCACATTCGAATTTTCTAAAAAAATTGCAACCACTTACTGTGCCTTACTGTGCCGATGATATTTTGAACTGTGCCGTTTCGATAAAAAAAAGTTATAGGAAAAAATAGATGAGGGGCTAACTTGACGCTCAGCCCCCTTAAAATTTTGGAAATCAGATGAAGCCTAAACGGATTCTTTTCCAATTTGAAGTGGACTGAACTGTGCTATATCAGGTTTTTCTGAAAATTTCCATATTTGGTCATTTTCCTACAGCTGGATAGTTTACAAACTAACCAACCTCTTGGCTTTTTTGATAGAAAACGCAATTTCTACTAAAATAGTAGCTAGTTTTCAAACTAAGCAAAAGTCTTGGCTAACTTACTTGAAGTTATTGAGAAAACTGAAATAGCTGGTTCTTTTGGTATATGACTGTAGCATGACGTGCAGCCAAAAACTCTAAAATTAATCACATTTATGGTTCCCCGCCATATCAGATCTCTGATGGAGTTTTGTCTAATCCCTATTCATAATCAGAGCTGGGCAGGGCTTTAGTGCTTTGTGCTTGTGAAAGTGCTTTGAAGACTTGGAAGCCCTGTACTTCAAGCCCTTTTATATATTTGTAATTGGGGCTTGCAAAGTCAGTTATATCAGAAAAGTGCTTGGTAATTTGTAATTGGAAAAAAGTAATTCAAGCCCTTTCAATGAATTTCAATTACTTTTAGAGGGCTTAAAGCACTTTTGGGAGTTTGAAGCACTTTAAAAGGGCTTGAAGCAGTTTAAAAGGGCTTGAAGCACTTTGAAAGGAATTTGAATTGACCATCATTTAACCTATCCGCCACCTAAAAATTTTGGATTGATATGTTTTGTAGCTTAATTTTTTTTCTATTATTTGAACTAGGACCCTCCAATTTCTTTTCTCTATTAACAATGGAGGTTTTGGGTTTGAGCTTAAAATTGAATTTAAAAAAAAGAATGAACTGATTATTCAAATAAATAATTAATTTATATAAGGTACCCTATTTAACTTTATAACTGGATTTTTTTTCAATTTTCTTCATTCAACAATTTGAAAACCTCAAAATTGAATTACCATGTAGTACCCCAACTACCCCAAGTACCCCAGAACTGCATCTCAAAAAATAAAATAAAATACTACTGCTACTCTGTAAAATTCATCTCTACTATACTAATTCAACTGATGAGTGTATATGCGGTAGTTTTTTGCAACTTTGAGAATTGTATCACAAATTCAAAGTGCTTTAGGCACATTTCAAGAGCTTCAAGCACATTGAAAGAGCTTCAAGCACATTCGAAGAGCTTCAAGCAGATTTAAATAAGAGCTTCAAACACATTTAGAAAGCTTCAAAGCACTTTTTAAAACACCCCAAACACTTTTGATGTGCCTCAAGCCATTTTCAAATCACTTTGAGGGCTTTGTGCTTGCCAAACTTAAAGCACTTTGAGGGCTTTGTGCTTGTGAAGCACTTTTGAAAATAAAAAGGAATTTCTGCTTGAAATTGAAAGCACTTTAAGAAAGGGCTTAGGGCTTAGTGCTTAGTGCTTCAAACCCTTTCAGTGAGAGCTTTGCCCAGCTCTGTTCATAATGTAGTTAATTGTCAAAATCGCTTCTTCCCAGTACTCCTTTGGTACTCCAGATTCCACCATTATTGCTGTAGCCCTTTCTAGTAAACTTCTATTCTGTCTGCCTTGCCATTCTGTTCAGGAGTATACGCTACAGTGTAATATATAGCATAACCGTTTCTGGCAGAGTAATTTCTGATCTTATTCGAAACATACTCTCCGCCGTTGTCACATCTTAAAGTTGCTTTTTTTTAAATTTAATTTTGCCTCAGCCATACTTGCAAACTCTTTAAATTTCTCGAATATCTCTCTAATTAAATAAACTACACAAAAGTTTGAATAATCATCAATGAATGTAACAAAGTATCTACTTAGATCATAATTTGATGGTGAGATAAGTCCGCGCGAATATTGGAAACTATTTTATCTCCAGTATTCGTTTACTTTTGGTTCTTTCTCTTAATGGAAATTTTATAATTTTTCCACTCACACATGGCCCACAAAACTCTACATCCTGTACCTTAATATTTTCTATCCCTTCAGCAATTCTCTTAATCCTGAAAATCCTATATGCCCATATCTTGTGCCATTTTACATACTCATTTTCACTACTTTCAACATCGATGCATTCAACTTTTACAACTATTATGGTGGCCCAAAGACGAAACGTTGGATTTCAAATTTGATAATGCCATATAAGCAAAAGTGGCAACAATGAAGTGCTATAAGTATTTTAGGAATATGGAACAATCCTTTCAATAAATCATCCTCCAACAAACCTCGAACTTATCAATCATTACCTCATTCAAATTCAAGTCTTAATTCTTAATTATTAATCTGGCAACATTTTTTAGATGGAAAACTCCTACCGGAAAACCTCAACTTCAACGTTTGCATCCACGCTTTCCACCACAATCCCGCCTACTTTCCAGAACCGGAAAAATTTCTACCAGAACGTTTTGCTAACAAAACCAACATCAAAAAGTTCACTTACATGCCTTTCGGCGTCAAACCTCGCCAATGTTTAGGCAAAAACTTTGCAATGCTAGAAATGAAATCCGCCCTTTCCAAACTTGTAAGGAATTTTACTTTTACCCAAGTACCAGGGCATCAGTTGAAACTAGTACCCAAACTGGTACTGTTTTCCACTAGCGGAATTGGAGTGAGGTTGAAAAAAAGGCACATATTGAAAATGTAATATAGAATTATAATTTAAAAGAAAATATAATAAACCTTATAAGATAAACAGTCTTAAAATAATATTATAATTAAGGAATATTTTTTGTTTTATTTAGTGCCAGTTTGTTCTCCTTCTGATAAACTGTCCCATTGGTCGGTCAGTTAACTGACGACCAATAGAATCATAGAACATAGTTTATCTGAAGATGAATAAACCGGGCCTTAATTATCCAATAACAACACAAAAATAAATTGACAAAACTAATATGTAGAATCCAAGCTGGAGTTATTTGGTGTATGGTTGCGATCGTCTTCGCATTCGTGACACTCGATTTCGGCCTCTTCATTATTGACTGCAAAGGAAAATAATTACATTTAGTATTTGATTTATAAATTATAAAGTTGAGCATACTTGCCAGACTCAGAAGATTTCTGAGGCGAAGTTTGCTGAGACTGGTCCTGGCCTTCTGGTGATTCTTGGTGTCTGTGCAAGTATTCATCCACCTTGAATGTCAATAAGGAAAAAACAATTATTATCCCAGTAAACACAACTACATCGAATTCATTAGACATTTTACTAAGGCCCAGTTTCACAATTGGTGGTTATCAAACTCATAGTTACAGGTTGACCACATTGAATAATCTGAAACTTGACCAATAATGGTTTTGCCTAAACCACACATTATGAAACAGATATATTGTAGGTTATTAGTGTCCTGTGGTTACTGTTTGTGAAACTGGCCCTAACTATCAAATTTAAATTTGACATCTGTCAAAAATTGCCTAATTCAAGAATTACGAATTTTATTCTGTGGAAAAGACACAATTTTTCATCTCAATGAAGCTCACTGTTAAAATAATCTCATTTAACTGGTGTTAATTTTTTAACGAGTTCATTCGACATCCAACTATCAAATTCAAGTTTGACATCTGTCAAAAATTGCCCAATTCAAGAGTTACGATTTTTATTCTATGAAAAAGACACTATTTTTAATCTCAATGAAGCTCACTGTCAAAATAATCACATTTGACTGCTGTCAAATTTTTAACGAGTTCATTAAACATCCAACTATCAAATTCAAGTTTGACATCTGTCAAAAGTTGCCTAATTCAAGAGTTACGATTTTTAATCTATGAAAAAGACACTATTTTTAATCTCAATGGAGCTTACTGTCAAAATAATCACATTTGACTAGTTTCAATTTTTTAACGAGTTCATTCAACATCCAACTATCAAATTCAAGTTTGACATCTGTCAAAAATTGCCTAATTCAAGAGTTACGATTTTTATTCCATGAAAAAAACAATTTTTAATCTCAATAGAGCTTACTGTCACAATAATCACATTTGACTGGTGTCAATTTTTTAACGAGTTCATTTAACATCCAACTATCAAATTCAAGTTTGACATCTGTCAAAAATTGCCTAATTCAAGAGTTACGATTTTTATTCTATGAAAAAGACACTATTTTCAATCTCAATGGAGCTTACTGTCAATATAATCACATTTGACTGGTGTCAATTTTTTAACGAGTTCATTTAACATCCAACTATCAAATTCAAGTTTGACATTTGTCAAAAATTTCCTAATTCAAGAGTTACGAATTTAATTTTATGAAAAAGACACTAGAAGCTTACTGTCAAAATAGTCACATTTGACTGGTGTCAATTTTTTAACGAGTTTATTAGACATCCTACTATAAAATTCAAGTTTGACATCTGTCAAACATCTTTACGTAAATGTCACAAAAATTATTACCTTGTGCCTGGCATTTTCAACCATCGGTTCTACAACGTTGCGAGTTCTGGTGACCGCTGGTCCAACAATGTCTTTAGCCGTTTGCATAGCAGGATCCACGTAAGATTTGGCCGTTTGCATAGCAGGATCCACATAAGACTTTGCTGTTTCTACAGCCGGAGTGACGTACTGCTTGGTACTGTTGTAGATCTGTAGAATCAGCTGTTTAAAAGAATGAATTTTTGATGATGATGATGAATGATGATGAGCATGATGATGATAACTTACTTCTTTAGGAGGCATTTTGACAGCTGGTACTTTTGTTTCAACGTAATCCAGGCCGGAACACAAAACATCGTCGACTTTTTTTATTGGGTCTTCAAGTTTTTTCATTACAGGTGTAGCGTAAGGCATGGCCATGCCTACAGCCTTGTTGGCTGTATCTTCGGCTGTTTGCAGAGTCCAATTGGTTACACTGTTGTAGTCCTATACAGAGTGTTCATTTTTAGGTTTTTATTTTTGGGAAAAATTTGATTCTTACTTTGACTTTTCCATAAATGTCGTGGGCTGTTTGGATTGTAGACTCTACAACTGGTAGTTTGGCGATTCTGTTGACTGAGTTCATGCAGGTTGGAGCTAGGACAGCTTCGGTTCCGTTGCTAGTGTTGTTTTCGGCCATTTTTTCTAGAATTCATTGATTTTTGATTAATTTAATTGATAATGATGGATACAATCAAAAAGCAACTTTGTCTTTGAGGCTCAATATTTCAAAAACCGCTCAAGATATTCGATTGAAACTTTCTCCATCTTGTAGAGCATTAAATTCTGAATCAGATTTATCAATAAGACATTGAAATTTTCAATTGATTTCTAATTAATTAAGTCAATAATGATGGTTACAATCAAAAAGCAACTTTAACTTTGAGGCTCAATATTTCAAAAACCGCTCAAGATATTCGATTGAAACTTTCTCCATCTTGTAGAGCATTAAATTCTGAATCAGATTCATCAATAAGACATTGAAATTTTCAATTGATTTCTAATTAATTAAGTCAATAATGATGGTTACAATCAAAAAGCAACTTTAACTTTGAGGCTCAATATTTCAAAAACCGCTCAAGATATTCGATTGAAACTTTCTCCATCTTGTAGTGTAATAAATTCTGAATCAGATTCATCAATAAGACATGGAAATTTTCAATTGATTTCTAATTAATTAAGTCAATAATGATAGTTACAATCAAAAAGCAACTTTGTCTTTAAGGCTCAATATTTCAAAAACCGCTCAAGATATTCGATTGAAACTTTCTCCATCTTGTAGAGAATTGAATTCTGAATCAGATTCATCAATAAGGGATCAGAATATAAAATTCAAAATTCTAGAAAGAGGATCATATTGTAATATTCAGAATATTTAAATTGTAATTCAGATAGGTAATGCAGAACTAGGAACATTTAATTCAGAATAGGAAAAACGTAATTCATATTGACATGAAGATAAAATCCATTGAAGCAAAAAATAATGCAATTATTAATCAATAAATGATTAATTAATTAATTAATTAATATGTTGCAATCAAATCAACCGGATGAATCAACTATGTTCCAATATCCTGATGTGATGATGCGCAACCAAAATGAAATAATTTATAAGTATTTTGCAAGTGCACAATTACTTTGACCTTCACTTGTAAAGGTACTTAAATACCTTCAAAAACCCAATTTATTGTTCAAAATAGTTTAAAAACATTTAAATATTTGGACTTTGGAATCTTGTTTTTTTTTTTATCAAGCACTCAAAAGACACATTTATAAGTACATTAGAATGATAAAAGATAAAATTATAAACGACCTTTTGAAGCTTAGTTTTAAGTAGGATGCAGAGTTTTTGACCTTTGTGTCATTGGATAATATATGAATTATTTAATAATAATATATTTTTCTAGAAAATTCCCTAATATGTACTAATAATAATTATTAAAAACATATTACAAGTACCTAGTACCTAAAAATTTTATGTAAAAAGTACCATCTGAAACAAAAATACAATTGAATTGATACAAAATCAACTTACCAATTTTGAAATTCACAAGAAAAATATCAACTTTTTTTAAAAAACAAGTAGTACCGTCTGTATGCTGCGAGTACTGGATCACGTATGAATCGAACGTCGCAGCGAGATTCTAATTTAAGAACCTCGATGCGTGCGTGAACCGTCGATAAGGTTTGTTCCGTATGAGAAGTACCAGGATTTTAAATAAAGTTTGACATCAATAATTTATTTTCATAGATTGTAGCTTGATTCTTCAGGAATACATTTGATATATTACCGTTAATAAATAATTCGTCTTTATATCATATACAGGGATGAAAAGAAAGTCAGTAGAGTTTTTTGAGACACCCTGTGGAGTGAACCACTGGAAATTCAGAACAGTTTTCAACACTAAATTGTAACCTAATCTTACCCGAACATTTTCATTTTTTATTCACTCTTTTATTTTCAATATTATTGAAACTACATGAAAGGAACTTTTTACTGATCTCCTTGTATATTTGTGAGCAATCTTTTCACAATAAGTTGATCGGTAAGAGGTAAAACTGCGAGCAATATTTAACTTGAAGTAAATATTCATACACACAACTTGAAATTGGAAAACGACACAATTTCAAATGCAATTCGTATAGTGACGTGGAGAAAATTAAGGTCAATATCCATCTTTTTTTCGAAACTCTGTATTTTCAATAATATTGAAAATATCAGAGTGAATAAAAAAATGAAAATGTTCGGAAAATATCAGGCTACAATTTGGTGTTGAAAACTGTTCTGAATTTCCATCACTCGTGATGTCTCAAAAAACTCTGAAAATTACTTATTTTCTTTCTATCCCTGTATATGATAATATAAAGACGAATTATTTAATAACGGTAATACGTCAGATGTATTCCTGAAGAATGAAGTGAAAAATTCATCGAAATCTAAATTTGACAAAGATAGTTATCTAATTCATTCAACAATTGGAAAATAGTACCTATCTAAGTGACAATAATTTTAAATCTTACGGAATAAACTCTACGAACGCACGGTGGTACCACACGTATGACCGAGTCCCAAGTCGGTTCTCCCTATTCCGCTATCGATAAAATAAAATAGATTGTCGTGTGTTTTTCGTACGTTTGTCTCTATAGGCTTGAAGTGCAAAGTCTAAAATGACATGCATCGGATGAGAAAATGAGTCAGGAAAACGAAATTCGATAGATTTTGTTGATTACAATAATTCTTCCTTGAACCTTCTAGAATGAATCCTCAAAATTGTAGTTGCATTTGAAAAGCTTTCAATTTGTGCACCTTGCTTGGAGAGGTTTATGTATTTACCAAATTACGACGTTAATCTTGGTGTAGAATTTAGTTGTTTGATGAATTATTTGAATCAAAAATCCTATTCCATTGATGTGACCTGATTAACTTGCAATATGGATATTGTAATTAAAATTGGGTTCTTGGTAAGAACTTTATGTTTGAGTTGCAAATTTTCATTTTTATTGAAGATATGAAAAATGTCCAAGTTATAGAGGACTTTTATCGAAAAGTCTACAATCATTCGATAGCAAGATGAATAGGTAGCTTAACAAACGTCAGGATTTTAGAAATTCAAGAATATGAAGAATTTTCATGGACGATCAGATCAAATCAGCAAGTTCGAGACATTTGGAAATTATAGGTAGAAGGTTTTTTAAGATTGAGTATTGAAGGGGACACTGAAAAATATCCTATTTTGGATGCTTAAATTTCAAGAAACTCTTCTGAAAATCACCCATCGATCTAATGGTACTACTTGTTTGCGGGATTTCTGTACTTTTCCTTCTTCTTGAGTACCGTCGCCACAGTGTCGTGAATTGTCTACGTAACCGGATCGTGGCGTGGTTAACTTTTAAATCATTGCTTATATCTTCAATGAGATTTAATGAAATTGGTAACAATTATATCGGGTCTTCAAGACAAAACCAATTTAAGATTGCTTTGATTAGGCAAATGTACGTCGCATTATTGTTTCTTTATTGGTCAGGATTTTTGAAGACCCGATATATCAATGAAAAAAGCATAAAATTCTCTATAAGCCCTAAAAAATTGGATCTGTGAATTGGATTTTGATTTTAGTGGAGTTTTCAAAATATACAGCTTCAAAGTTGACATGACTACAAGACTCGTGTGATTAGAACGACTCGGTCTACGACCTTTCACACTCGTTATTGTAATCATGTTCATAAACAACTTGTAATGTAAATAACTATTATAAAATCCTTTTTTATAATCAATTAGATAGCCTAATTGATTATTTAATTTTGGATATTTAAAATTTCCTTTTCACTTTCTTGACACCGGAGTGAACTTTGGATAATTATTCCTGATTTTTGATTTATCGAATTTATTATGGATTGATCTTTACTTAACTTTTAGTACTGCGTACTGCCGTATCATAATATTTAAATAATGTACTTATATTTTATCAATTATAATCAATCAGTAATCTGAAGTCAAGTTTGGACAACATGCTCTAAATTTAAAATTATTAAGTAAGTAAGAACCGACATCATCGAAAATTGATCAAATTTTAACCCTGGGTCCGATAGCTTATACCTATATTTGAGGATTTTTATTATATCTCCTGACCTTTTAACTTTTATTTAACCCAACTTTCGATTTCATATAGGTACAACTTGATTTTATTGATTTTATTTAAAGTGTTTTACTAGCAATCGATTTTATATTTTGAAATTATTCAACACTTGATTTTCGACCTGACTGTGAAATATACGCTAATTTAATTTGAAACTTACTTAATTGTTTTATTGGTGTTCCTATATGTCAGGATTTGGTTGAGTTATGTGCCTTATTTATTTCCTTTTCAGAGTTATCAATTACCGTCTGAAGTATATTCTTTTTAGATGTGTTTCTGAATTTACACCCTTTCATATTTTATGTAATTTAATTTTTTTTTTCAAATTCAGTGGCGCCCTTGCCATTCTGTACTTAACAAACTATCAACCCATCCCTAATAATTATGGGGCTCTTGTTAATCCATTAACAAAAGAGGTTACATAGTGTCTAGTTTAAGTTCTCTCGATTTAGTCGGCTGTTTTGTTGTGACCAGACCTGACATGTTGATTTTTCTGTTATTCATTAGTCTTAGTGGTATCTATTGCTGGCCATTCAGAATCAGCTTTTTCTGTGTAGCGTTATTTTTTGTCAAAAACTCCATACCTAGCATTATCGCTTAGGTTAATCATGAAATCACGGCGTCTCCATCAAATGTTACAACCTCTCTGTGACGGGGGTGTAGGGTGGGTAGCAGTAAGAAACTCGCTCAGTTTATTATAAAAATGTATCTTTATTTGCTATGAAGTTATCACATGAATCCTCCAGGGTCCTTATTCTTGAAACAGGGAAGCAACTTTCCCAAGAGAATCAGGGGTTGCGTCTTTCTCAATAATATGCAAATGATAATATAAGTAACAAGGATGGAGCACTCGTCCTCCTGGGAAGGCTGCTTTCCTGTTTCAAGAATAGGGACCCAGGATGTATGCTCTTCCGTGGGGTCACACGTTTGAAGCTATTTTTGGATTTTTCTCAATTGTGATAGAGCGAGTCTAAATTAGTTAGAAATATTAGTTACATTTGACAATTTCGATGAGAAAAAAAATCCAAAAAAATCTCATTTTTGGCTCTGGAATTTTTTTTCAAATCTTGACACGCTCATGGAAAATTGCCCATATCTTTCATGACTTTTGAGAAAACTGCTTACAATTATACATCTATGAAAAGAGTATTGAATTCTCTAGAAAGCCAGTGCAAAATTGAGTTTTATAGTTTTTGAAGTTTCCAAGATATCCTGGTTCAAATTTGAATTTTAGTCTAGATTTTGTCCAAAACTTAAAACTCAATTTTCTCAAAAACTGTAAATGCTAGCGATTTCAGCTGAATACCATCTAAAAGCCGTTATCAAAAACTACAATCCCTGAAAATTTTGTCCGAGTACCGGTTTTGGTTACCGAGATATTGAAGTTTGAATATTTGCAAATTGAAATTCAAAGGGGGGTACCTTTAAAAAAAAGTCTAAAAAATTGAAATTTTTTATTTTTTGATTTTTCTCAATTTTTAGAAATCGATAGAGCGAGTCCAAATTATTCGTAAACAATAAGAACTGTTCACATTAATATATGAACATTTCAATAAAAAGAAAAATTCAAAAGGAAATCCCATTGGAAATCGTGACAGGCTTTTGAATAATTGCTCATATCTTCAATGAGAATCAAGAAAATTGGTTACAATAATTATATATCATTGAGAAAAGCCTGAAATTCTCTATAGGCCTTGGATTTTGCATCTAAAAAACATCAAATTTGAAGAAGGAATATCGACAAATTCTACTTTAAAATAATCAAAATTCCGATTGAAGGCCTCTAGAAAAATTGATATACAATTCAAGAGCCGGTAATAATCAACAGTTACATCTGAAAAAAATACAGTAAAATTCAAAATAAGATTCTTTTCATATGAAAAATCACCCGAGTACAATTTACTCAAATACAACCCAGCCCTAAGTAATCCTAGCAACCGCTCCAATCAATCAATCGATTCTCATAACCCTAACAACTGCCATTGTCGAATCAAATCAAACAAAACAACATGAACCCGAAACAAATCTTGGAAAAATTCATAAAACCTCTACCAAAACCGTTCAACTCGATCCTGAAAAATGCCGACAAATTGGACCACTTCAAAGGCCTGGACCTGGACAAACCCGAGACCTTCACCCCTATGGAAATGGAGCTGCGCATCCAGGCCGATCAAGTAATGTTTTCCCTTAACAAAGCCGTTTCGGTTTTGAGTATTTTAGCTCAATTGCCTCAATTGCTAGACAGCGGTATTTTAACCGAACATTTTACACATCAAGAAATGTCTTATGTTTATTACGTACTTAGACGATACGAGACAAAAGAGGAAAGGGTTTCGGATGAAGACACTTTTCTAACTTATGGAGGTTTATACGAAATTGTAAATAAAATAAAACTGAAAAGTTATTTTCAAGAAACCGTCGTTGATGCCAATTTATCGCAAATTGTGCACATGATTTTTAATAACAGGTGCATTAGGGATGCTATTAAAAAAATCCCCAAACCAAAAACAATCCCATATGTTATGCAGTTTATAAAAGATTTCCAAGAGCTTAAAGACATGGCTCAGATAAAGCTTTATATTACAGGCACTGAAGAAGAAAAAAGAGATAAGCAACTAAGACAAGCATTCAAATCCAATATAATGCTTAAAGCCGCAATCAAAGACCTTGAACATCAGTTGGAGCATCAACGCGACCAATTGGGAACCGAATTGCACAAAAAAGTCGACATTTTCGACAATTACAACGACAAAATAGCCAACATAAAAGAAGAGTTTCAAATCAGCATCGAAAAAAACATCCACGATTCGGAAAAAAGAATGATGCAACAATGCATGGAAAGCGAAGCCAAACAAGCTCAACTTGCTTTGGAAGCTGACAGCATCACCAAAGCCCACGCCGCCCTTTTGGAACAACATTTAGCCAGCGAAAAATTGCTCAGAGCCAGAACCGGAAAAACCCAAGCCCTACTACACAACTGGATCATCAAATACGACCAAGACGCTGGCGACAAAAACACCGAATACGAAGACTTAAAAAAACAATACGACCAAGAAAAAGAAACAATGGACGATTTGGATGACAAATTGGACGAACAAGAGAAGATTTATATTACTTTGATGGCGGAAAAAGCCGAAGAAGAAGAAAGGATTTATCATGAAATTTACTTTAAAATACTCACCAATAGATCGGCCAGGATTATACAGAGGGCCTGGAGAGCGTATCGGGAAAGGAGAAAGTCGAGGCGTAGAGGCAAAAAGGGCAAAAAGGATTTCAGGCCTAAATTGGTTTATACTAAAAAGGATGATCCTAATGCTTTGCTGGAAGGCAAATTTAAGGGGGATATATTTGATTAATAATAATGTTTATTTTATAGTGTTAATAAACATTGATGATGCAATATGAAAGGCTTGTTTGTTTATTTAATTTTCTTTCTTTATTTTTTCTTCTTATCGTTTCAATTTTTGTTTATTCCAGGATCTACATTGTTTAATCTCCATTTTTCAAATTCTCTAAATAAGTTTCTGTCTATTTCAGGCTCTTGGTTTTATGTTTTCTTCCAAAAAAGAAAAAATCAAGAGCTTGGAGTGAAACAAAAAAAGGTTCCTATCTTCCTAGATAGGAAATAGGTATAAGACGTGTAGGAAAAAGTTACGTAGAGATATAGGAGAAAAAATAATTCCTCTCCAAGATATGACGTCATTGATCTTTTTTTTAAGTGGGAACGCCATCTTTTTTTTCATTGATTGGTAAGAGCTCATTTTGCTTTATAAAAAAAAAAAAAAAAAATGTCAAGATTTATTAAAATGAATTCATGGTTTGAAATGACAATTAATGACAATGACAATCATTAATTAGGTAGTTATTTATCTAGGAAGCGTCATGTCAAAAATTTGACATCTGGTTTTTTCTCAATTTTTGTCTATATCAGGTTCTTGCTCTTGATTTTATGTTTCTTTCTAAATTTCTCTAGAAAAAAAAATCAAGATTAAGATCCTGTAATAGAAAATTAGTTATGACCTTTCAAAGTTTTCCAAAATTTAAATCATAAGGTAGCTACACTAGCTACCTACCTCAGTACAAAGATGATGAAATTTCAAAAAAAAAAAATTGAGAATTTGTGTCTCAATGGTCGTTAGAGATCCCCCAAACTCCATATACTAAATTATTCTGAGATTTGGAGCCGGATTCTATGAAAGGCACTCAAATTTTTTTTTGATGTCACCCCAAATTGCTTAACAATTTTTTTAAACAGAACAATCCAGAGAATCCTCCCACAACATCCCTCTTTTAACCAAATCAACCCCCATGTTCAGATCAGCCAACCAATACCAGTTCCTAATCAAGTCCAAATTAGTTGGAAGTTGCAGGGATTGTAGTCCTCTACTACTGTCATATAACCGTACCGATTTAAAAAAAAAAAAATGGACATAATACAGGGTGTCCCAGCCGAGAGTGACCCATTTTAAATGCTTATAACTTTTAAACCAGGTGAGCTAGCTACCTGCGGTTTGTGCCATTCGATTTCTCTTGGTCTAAAGTTTTTTCCAGTAGGTTTCAAATTTTTTTGAAACTTATACAGGGCAAGTGAAAAAAAATCCGTTTTTCAACATCGAAATTCTCCACTATTTCTAATGGAACACCCTGTATATCACAACGTCAAAAAAAAGATTAATGTTTAAGGTTTCCATGTACCAATAGACATCGTCCCTAAAACTTGAAGTTTTAGCCGAAAAAAAATCGAAATCTTGGTATTTTTGCAAACGCATGCAACTTCATGTTGTAGGAACTTGATATCACTATGGCAAACAATTTTGTAACTGTCTAGTTAGATATCAATTAAGTTGAGATACATTTTCCAGCTTTTTGTATAGTTTTATGCAGTTGTTATTAACTTTTTATTAGGCAAACATAAGATTGAAGCTTTGAAAATAGGTGTTTGCAAAAATACCAAGATTTCGAATTTGATTTTTTACGGCTAAAACTTCAAGTTTCAGGGACGATGTCTATTGGTACATGGATACCTTAAACATGAATCTATTTTTTGACGTTGCGATATACAGGGCGTTCCATTGAAAATAGTGGAGAACTTCGGTGTTGAAAAACGGATTTTTTTTTACTAGCCCTGTATAAGTTTTAAAAAAAATTGAAACCTACTAGAAAAAACTTTAGACCAAGAGAAATCGAATGGCACAAACCGCAGGTAGCTTGCTCACCTGGTTTAAAAGTTATAAGCATTTAAAATGGGTCACTCTCGGCTGGGACACCCTGTATTGATAGAGACAGTATTAATCAACCGTCAAAAGATAAATGTAGAGCCCTATCGAAAATCTTCAGAAAAAAAATAAAAACTCAATTTGAAATGCACTTTTCATATTTTCAGCTCATATGGGCCAAGTGCCCAGCAGGCTACACACGGTTTGGTAGGCCTGTCTGTTCGAACTGAACAGTTCGCCTGAAAGCCGGTCGCCGGATGTACTGACGATCCTTCAAATGTTCAGGCGAATCTGAAATATTCCTCAGTCTCAACTATCACGGCCTCCACTGACGACAATGCGTTATTAGCACTTTTTGGTTTGGTAGTATGTATTAATTTTTTTGAGAAAAGTAGACTTCGTACAAGAAGGATTTCCTTCCATTTTGCTACCAATTTCAAATTTGCCGCTCCTTTCTTGCCACAGTCGTGAAAGTATTTTGATTTGACTTACCACAGTGTCACAAGCACGACTCGCTATGATAAATCGCGAATTCTAGTGGCTCCTTCCGTTAATACAAATGTAGTGCCTAATGTTATGTTATATTCAAGATTTCCTTAAATTTGTCAACATTTTCTCTCTATAAAATTTCATCAATAATCTCAACGGTTGTAGATCCTTTAAATTTTCTAATTTTCAATGGGCAAATTCTATTTTCATTTGTTACTAGTTCTTGTTAATCCATAATTTAATTCAATTTCAAAATCAAAACAAAGCAATATTTTGATTCCACTTTTAAATTCGATCATCTGTTTTCATAACAAAAATAAACAATTCATTTGTCAAAAATATTTCGTGGGTTGTGTTCCGAAAATCATAGTGACCCGTTTTCAAGTGGATGTACAGAACTACTCCGTTCGTACTAACTCTGTTCGGTTATCGAGCGCTATTGATCTTGGAGCAAATTCTAGCGAACCCCGGGTCGATCATTGGTTCGATGGTCTTTGAGATATTTTGTGCATTATCCTTGATTTCGTTTCTTTGACTTTTGATTGTCAAAAATTTCTGTCAACCAGCGGTCGACTAGTAATGTTTTTAGTATCGTCGATTCTTCTTTGAGCCCTCTAATTTTGCAAACGGATCACTTACTAAATTTTGTATTCTTTAAGTTTTGATTGTTTTATGGGATGATTATTTGTTGTTAATATCATTATGCATCAGCCGTTGTTATTTTTATCGGATTATATTGTTGTGTGCAATTTTTGGTTAATGAGAATTCTATCGATTGATCTTTGACGTTTGTCGTTATTCTGCATCATCTCTGAATCTACCTTTAGGCTAGCTCCTTGATTGAATGTGCAGCACTTTTCCTTTTACGTTAACTGTTTTGAAGAAGCAAGTCCTCCAGAAGAATTAATTTTTTTTCTTCACCTTAAAAAGGGATTTTGGGCCTGATTTTCTTCTGAATTGAATTTATGGCACACTGAGTTATCTTGCGTTGTGTTTTACTTTCGTAAAGTGCCATAATTTTCGCCGATGTTATCGGATTTAAAAAAAAACAGTCATTTGTGGTAAGTTGCTTGCACGTTTTTTTCCCAATAGAAGATTCTGACTTTTTCCATTCAATTATTAGTTGAAAGCTGCCCTAAAGAGTAGCGAATAATCTCACTCACTCCAGTATATTCAATCCAGACCTCGATCCAGATTTCCGGAGATTTTCGAGGCAAACGAGCCCTATTTCCATCAGGTAAAAAAAATATAACCGTATTAACAATTTTTGCAAACTCGAGACACATTTTTCTTAATTAATATCAAAGCTTTATTGTGATTTCATATAATTGAATTAATTAATACATTATTGTTCAATTTTTCTATTAAAATAATTTTCAAGAGCTATAGTCTTTTATCAAGTAAATTTGCTATTGGAAACTAATTGTATTACATTATAGTTTCATTTTCTAATTCAATTTATTCATGAAGTGCTTCGCTATTGGTTCAATTACAAATACAGTGTGTATAACAATTTTTCTCTTAGGGTTCTTTAGCGAGGGGTTGTACTTTACCATCAAGTTTACCCTCACGGTTATACCAAAAGACGTTCAATTGTAACCGAAATTGAACCAAAAGGCTAACAGACACCAGCCTAAGTAATTGGACGGTTACTCGAGTCTTCAACCAAGTTAACCACAACCAGTAGCCAGGAATAATCTGGTTAATTGTAAGAACAACCACCACCTGGAACATTTCGGTATCGTACTAGTTTTAGTTATCCTGATTATTATTGTTTATTTACATTCTGTCCCTATTTGTACACCACGGTGATCACCTCGGTATTTCAGGGAATAATTCATTGCTTGCCCCCAGTGTGGTGAATGAATTATTAAATAGGTAACTTAGCTAGACGTAACCTGTTAAATTTATGTCAACCTACTGGTAGTTCTGGTTACATAAGTGTAAAATAACCGCTCCAATTTATTATTCACTCATTTATTTTTTTATTTTTCTCTTCAATTTATATTAACAACTTTTCTATTTATACCTTTTTTTTATTATTCATTTGGGTTATTGAGTTTCAATGACATATTTTTGCATTTAAATTTAACTGTTCAGGACTATAGTATTTCTTTCACCAGTATAGCATTTCTGTATTTGTTGGTTGACACTTCATGACAAGGTCATTTTATTAATTATTATTATTATTATTTTTTTTATGTCAATGCCCACATCGTTTCATTGTGCATTTGATAAATAAACAACTGTAGCACTTGATTTGAATTGACTTTTATTTGGTTTTATGCACACAGCCTGGTTATTGCTAATATTTTTCTTTTTTTTTATAATTATTATTTGAATTGTAAGAACCTGAAGCCAGATACCATCCTGGAGAGTCCGACTCATCTGTTCAGAGTCGGTGGCGCCCAAAACTAAAACCCACCCCTACTCTCCGAATTATTTAGTTCTGAGCTAGGGCATAATTTGCACGCACTTCGACCTTCAGTCTTACAATCTCAAGTTCTTCATTCATTTATTTTTATTTTTATTTTTTTTTTATTTTTCATTATTTTTATTTTAATTTTTTTTAAATTTTTTTCTAAATCTTTTTTTTTATATAAACTTTTCTTAATCATCGAAAAAGCGTGGCATTGTTACTGTTCGAACCAGCAAAGGTAAAGTCAAGCGATCAATAATCAAGGTTTGCCCGTTACCAGATCCAGAAGATCCTCATAATTTGGTTGAACCTGAGAGTTCAACGCGGGGAGTATAGAGAAATACGTGGCAACCTCGGATCCAGTTTTTTCCTTCAATTATTGTATTTGACCAGAAATAAATCAAGTAAAATCAACTGGAATATTATTGATACAGTCCACACTCCACCAGCTACTGTCAGGAATGGAATTCGCTCTTCTTGGGTGTCTTCCTGGTATGCCTGACCAGGACGCTCTCAATCATCCAAGGATGCATCAGTGCTTGTACTGGATATGGCGACAGTTATTCATATTATAAAACCACACCATCATGCCACAGTTTTCGGGGAACATACAAATATGTACTTACCCCATTTATAAATCACGATGGCAGTCTCAAATCACAGACCCGAGATAAACGAGGTGACACTTCAGGGCATCGAACTAGAGTCTCTGCAAAAATGCCTATACCAAAGGGTTCAGCATGGGTGAAATTTTTATCAAACAAAAACAATAAACAAGACTTATTCAACTTTCTCAGTGAAAGAGAAATTGGTTGAGGTTACCACTGGGGCTTCGTATCAGCTGTTCACCACAAAGGATAATCAGGTGCTAAGCAACAGAACAAGTGACATTTCAACCATGTTTCTAAGTCAGCAAGAAAAAGCAAACATCAGAATGATGTTACACTTGCAACACGCTGCTGAGCAAGGACATACCAAAACGTATTTCATTACAGTGGACACAGACGTAGTAGTTTTGACCATCCATCACTTCAAACGGTTGTATATGTCAGAGTTATAAATAAGTTTTGGATCAGGAAAGACCTTTAAAGAGATTCCAATCCATTATATCTGTCAATAGCTTGGACCTGAACGCTCGGACGACCATCTCTTTTTTCACACATTTACGCAACATCATTGATGTCTGGATTAGGTGAAAAGACGGCTTGGAATGCATGAACTGCTCATTCCCAGGATAGTGACACGTTCATTGACGTCACAAATGCACCGAATAGCTTCACGTTGGAATCACAGCGCATGTCTTATCTTGAACACTTTACACTACAGTTCTGATGTACAGCATAAACTGTGGTGCAGATTCAGTCAATGATGCAGGAAGTTGATGTTTACCCATGGCCTAAAGACTCTTGAATCTATACCAACATCACAACATGATGCTTAATTTCAGTATACAAAGCGAGCGCTGCTCACTACCGGATTCATTTGGGAGATGTTTCTATCCAAATCGCCGGATATTCCTAATTACGGTAAATGGGGTTGGGAATGGAATGACAGAGCCAAAGAATGGGTACCCTACAGGACTGATCTTCCGGATGCAAGCCATGGATGCTCATTGCTATGTTTTTGTCTAAATGTCTTTTGATAGTTTGACGTTCAATGAGCGCGTCAAACAATTGACATCTGTCAAAAGTTCTCGTTTTGCCAACTGAAAAAAATGTTATGTCCAACGAATCTTTAACAACAAGATAACAATCGTTGCTCTTCAAATGAGACAATATTTGACAGATTTCCATCTGAGATTTGAGAGTGTTATGTCAGATGTCAACACCAAACTCGTTGTCGTTTTCATGTTATCAAGACTCGTAGAAACTTGGAAACAACGCAGTCTAAAGAGTTTTCTAATTTTTCAAACTTGTTGAAATATAAAATTGTCCTGGGCCCATAACCTAGCTGCTTTTTAATATTCAATTTTAGATAATTTACATTCTAACAGCTTATAGGCCTAGATAGAGCTCTTTTAAAAACAGGATTTTTGGGAATTAATATTTCAAATTAGAAGTTGATTTTTATTATATTCTACACAGAACTCTCATAAATAACAATTTGCAAAACTTGGGGCTCCTTGCTGGTAGCCTTCTTGGTCATATCCTTGATAACAGCTTGCAGGGCCTCCTCCCATTCTTTTTCCGCTTTCAGTTTGGCCTTTTTGTCCCTCCTGCTACCGATCCTTTTGGGCATCGACACCTACATAAAAAATAATTCTATTTTAAACTACATATGAGTAGGCTTCAAAACAATACCGTCGTAAAATTCTCGCGAGTATATTGACAAATTTCAATGGAATGTTTACATACATAAATCGTAAATATCCGAAAATTAAAATAGATTTATAGTCTAGGAAAATTGTCGATTTTCAAAAAAAAAATCCTACCCAAATGAATTTTTCAGGGATGATAGGGGGCGGGTGGGTGATCATAAAACCGAAGATATCACACATTCACCCCTCTGGCGTTTTGCGCTATAGGGGTTGAAAATGCGCCATTGGCGATTACTTGGTACCTATTGATTTTACAAAAAAATGTTTCAAATAAAAGATATGCAGCATTATTTGATCTACAATGTTTATTAAAAGACTTTTTTGATTAAGGTCCATCTGTGGTCATAAGGGCCGTTTGAAATTTTATAATGAAAATGAAAAATTTTAACCAACGTGAAAAAAATTTCTACAACACATACAACATTTTTGCTTCATGAAGTTTTTACTCACCCCCTGCCGTTTTTCAATAGGGGTAGTTTAAAGTTTATTTATTTTTTCACAGAAAAAATTTCGTTATAAAAGTTGTATAAGATTACATTTCCTACAATTTTTCCCAATTAACTTTTTTTGTAACTCACCCCCCATTCAGAGGGGGGACACTTCCCTTAGGGAAATTTTAGTTTTTAGGGGTATAGGTATATTAGTTTTTTTTTTCTTTTCTTGCCTTTGTTGCATATAAAAAGGTGCAATTAACATTGTACTGAAAGGATTTTTTTCCACCACCTTTTTGTTTTTAGGGGTAGTTCGCCTATTTTCAACTTTGCAAAAAAAAGTTATAGAGAAAAGTTGCTCAAAATAATAAAATGAACAAGTTTTCTTAATAAATTTTATTTGTAAAGTTGAAAATAGGCGATCTACCCCTAAAAACAAAAAGGTGGTGGAAAAAAAATCATTTTAATACAATGTTAATTGCAACTTTTTATATGCACTAAAGGTGAAAAAAGAAAAAAAAATATATATATTCCCCTAAAAACTAAAATTTCCCCGAGGGAAGTGGCCCCCTGCTGAATGGGGGTGAGTTACAAAAAAAGTTGATCAGAAAAAATTGTAGGAAATGTCATGTTATAAAACTTTTATAAAGAAAATTTTTTTGTAAAAAAATAAAAAAACTTAAAACTACCCCTATTGAAAAACGGCAGGGGGTGAGTAAAAACTTCATAAAGCAAAAATGTTGTATGAGTTGTAGAACATTTTTTCACGTTGGTTAAAATTTTTCATTTTCATTATAAAATTTCAAACGGCCCTTATGACCACAGACGGCCTTTAATCAAAAAAGTCTTTAGATAAACATTGTAGATCAAATAATGTTGCACATCTTTTATTTGAAACATTTCTCTGTTAAATTAATAGGTACCAAGTAATCGCCAATGACGCACTTTCAACCCCTATAGCGCAAAACGCCAGAGGGGTGAATGTTTGATATTTTCGGTTTTATGATCATCCACCCTCCCCTTATCATCCTTGAAAAGTTCTTTTGGGTAGGATTTTTTTTTTTTGAAAATCGACAATTTTCCTAGACTATATGAAAGTTTTCGCTTACTTACCACTGTCAACACTTTCATTAAATCTTGCTGAAAAGCCATCATATCTAGTCCGGGAGCGTTTTCGGCTAGTTTTCTGAAATTCTCAGCTAAAGGGCCTCTTAGGGCTTGTAGCTGCCTCCATGAATGAGCGTACTGTCGTCGCACCAGCTCTATTATTGTAGAAGTTAGAGCCAGGCCTACTAGGATGTAGAGTGTGCAGAGGAGCATGTATTTGGGTTGTTCTAGAACAAGAATTAACTTGTAGTTCAATAATTAATGCACTATTTAACCTGAAACACAATACAGATTTTTCAATCAGAGCCTCTCCAATAATTTCAATAAACTTGAACTGAATCTGAGGCTCAGAGCAAAAAATATGATATTTATTTACGACTGACATATAATATAAATATTATATTTGTGACTTTGGCAGTATAATGCCATGTATTATTCTCGCAGGGATTAATGGTCATTAATCCCGCTTGCACACCAATCACAAAATTTCTCAAATTAAATAAGTACCCTGGAAACAATATACCTGAACAAACTCATAAATATCATTGTCAAACGCGTAGTGCTTGTGTATTTGTATTGAGATGGATGAACAAAGAGCGTTTTTGGGAAGAAAATTTCAATTAAATTAATTTGTCGTAAATAAAGTAGAGTATACTACTCGCAATAATGGCTATTATTCCCTCGGAATGTTACTCCCTCGCCGCTAACGCGGCTCAGTTCGTAAATATTCCTCGGGAATAATAGCTATCATTATTGACTCGTGGTATAATGTACTATTATACTACAGTAATACAAATTCTACTGACAGACGATTCTTTGATACCAGATAGGTGCGAGACGATCTTGATGGCTCGCCTAGATGGAAATGTGAAGAAGGGAGACACAATGATGTTTCAGCTCAGAATACACGACACTGATATAGGACGAGAAATTGCATTTGATAAAATCCTCTTGCATATCAAAAAAAATGTGCCCGTCAGAATCATGAACTTGAATTATTACTCTGTAACTTTGAAGAAAGGAATGGTTATGGGGCACTGCTCATCAGTTTCCTCTGTGGTTCGGCGTGTTTAGGAGTTAACTAGCCATGAGTTCACAGATGAAATGAAAACGTTGAGCAACGGGAGTAGCACAAGGTTCTCAGGGTTGCAAACTTGAGAATAAGTTATTCACAACAATTTATGAAAAAATCATAGATACATACGCGTTTGCGATGTTTGATGCTTTTATTGACTGGCCTATTAATGCATGCAAAAATGTTTAAAATCTGCAAAAATCACTTGTGCAAAATACTTCAAGTGATCACAGTTGAAACTTTCAGGATTTATGAATTGAAGAATTTAATGCTCTTTCTAATAGCGTATAATTTATTTTAATATATGAATATATGCATAATTATTCTCGCGAATTTGTAACACCCTGTATAAATCGCCATTTGCCACGCTATTAATTTTTTCTCCACAAATTCAATTCCCTAAAAGTGTTGTTTTGTCAACGAAATAAATGCCCTCTGTTTCGCTTTTGAAGGGTCAAATAATATAATAAATTTTGCGGTCTCGATGATAAGGGCTATCGTTATTTTTTGTCCCGAAATAGGGCCCTATAGTTTTAGTAATTGGAGAATAAATCGCGGAACTTTTTCTCCGATAAACTATCTCAAATTGTATAAGTGCTTTGGCTGGAAATATCCAGAAGATTATCATTCATTATGACACCAAAATAATGTTTCAAAATAAATTGGAAATGTTGTTTTAAAATAACATTTTTTGGATCAACTTACTTGGAACCAAATCTCCAAATCCTATGGTGGTCATTGTAATAAAACAGAAATAAAACCCATCAAAGAAGCTCCAGTCTTCTTCCCATAAGACAAAGACGGCAGCTCCTGCTGCCAAATAAACCAAAAGAAAACAAACTGCTGAAAGGGCGTAGGACGAAGTCCTACGTGCAACCATAGCGTTCCTAAAAAACATTTAATTTAAATCAAAATTTTAAACCATATAAAACCAAAATTACCTTAAAGCTTTGGGCAAAGGTGGTATTCTCCTTACAAAAGCCGAAACTGTTGAAGCAAACAATCTTCCCCAATCGGCAATCACCGTCATTGTCAAAGGTATTCCTACCAAGGCGAATACTACACAAAAGATTTTGCCTTCTTTGGTCATTGGAACTATATTGCCATAACCTTTTTGATTAATTGAATAAGTAATTTTTACAAAAAACCAACCAAATTATACCTATTGTTGTTAGAACTGTAGAGCAAAAAAATACTGATTTAAGTGTTGTCCATTTGGAAGTTTCTGGATGTAGAGGGAAGCCATCTTTGAATGATGCCTGAAAAATTTTGAAAAATGTATCTATATCCTATTCACAATCTGTAGTTCAAAAGTACAGGTAAATTTATCACCTTTCCTTATCGAATACCATTGAAAGGTGATACATTTTACCTGTACCTTTGGACTACAGATTTTGAATAATAAAAACATTGCTACTTACATGTAAAACAATTTCATAACTCTCTAATTCATTGGACACAAGAAAATCAAGATTTTCTGCATCAGAATTGTTAACTATGGCTTCAATCAAACATCGTCTTGTAATGTTGAGGGCCTCGTTGTAATATTTGATTCTTTTCAGTTCGGCTGGATGTTCGAAATGCTTGAAAACCTACAGTAAAAGATATATTGTATTATGCAGGATAATTGCATAGTGTTTTTTTTGCAAAAGAAACCGCATACGTTTCCTGTTGAAGGGTTTGAATATTTAAAACCCCTTCTGTATATGTACATATCTGAAGGGTCCAAGAAAAAGGGTCGAGGTTTTAAAAATAAAGTAAATTTCTTTTTTTTTTTGCAACACATGCAGGATTCTTTAGATTTTCTGGAAACATTTATCTTGAGACATTTTTATCTTTGACAGTTTTCTATAGGGAAAGCCACAAAAAGAAATAGAAAAGATTAATTCTTTCATAAATCCTCATAGTTTTCACGGATTATGTAATCATTGAATATCTTGGAGGCAATATAATATGAGATTTCTGGTTTGTATTTTTAATTTTCCAGTGATTTTTTTTTTTGAGTTTTCATTAGCGCTCTTTTTGCAGAACGATTTTTGTTTCAATTACATTTTTGGAAAAAATTTCAGGTCTTTTCAGGCAATTTTAGTCGATAATAATCAAAATTCTGACTATAACTGGCTCATGATTAGCTCTAGATCAAGAACCAGTAAGTAATGATGAAAATTTGGACTCCTAAACAGCTTTTTGATATGTTCATTGGTTATCGAAATTTAAAATATTTTCGGCTCATGATTACTTAACTCTATTTTAAGAGTCAATTACAATCAAAATTTAAACAATAATAGTGGCTCTTGATCGTTTTTAGGAAAACTATCCAGCGAATGAAGAGTCAGTTATAATGAAAATTTGAACTATCATCGGCTCTTGATTGGCTTTAGAAAAATTATCCAACCAATCAAGAGCCGGTAATAATCACTATTTGAACTCTCCTAATTTCCATGGAATAGTATCTCGGCCTTTCAAAAGCCTGTAACAATAACCATTTGAATAATTAATAGCATTTTATCAATGAAATTTGAGTCGTTACCGATCATCCAGACCGATAATAATCAAAATTGTGATTATTACCGGCTCTTGATTACCTCTGGAAATATTTTATAGCGATTAAAGAGTCGGTAATAGTCACAATTTTGATTTATTTTGACTCTTGAAATATGATCCAGTAAATGTGAAGCATTTAATCATTAAAATTTGAGTTGTTACCGATCATTCAGCGAATCAATAGCGGATACTTATCAAAATTGTGACTATTCGTGGCTCTTGATTACCTTTGGAAACATTTTCTTGCGAATCAAGAGCCAGTGCTAGTGATAATCAAAATTGTGACTATTACCGGCTCTTGATTGCCTCTGGAAACATTTTCTAGCAATTCAAGAGCCGATGATAATTAAAACATTAAGTCACTCTTACTTGTTCTAGACTTTTAAAATCACTGGAAAGTAGCTCCAATGATTTAAGGGCTTCTTAAGCGACTTTCAATGCATTTAAAGTCACTCTCAACACTTTTGAATCACTCCAATCGGCGAAAAACTTACTGGAAATTATCTAGACCAGCTTCAAAATATTTGAATTATCTCATGCATGATCCATCCAAAGTCTACAAGACTTTTAGATAAATCAGTGAGAAAGTAGCTCCAATGCTTCAAAATTTTCTTATGTGAGTTCCAATACATTTGAAGTCTCTTTCAACAGTTCTGAATCACTCCAATCGTCGAAAAATTTACTGGAAATTGTCTAGAGTAGCTTTAAAAGTATTTGAATTATTTTATAATCCATGCAAAGTCACTCTTACTTGTTCTAGACTTTTAAAATCACTGGAATACTAGCTCCAATGCTTCAAAATCTTCTTAAGTGACTTCCAATACATTTGAAGTAACTTTCAACAGTTCTGAATCACTTCAATCGTCGAAAAACTTACTGGAAATTATCCACAGTAGCTTCAAGAGTATTTGAATCATCTCACGATCCATCCAGTCACGCTTACTTGTTCTAGACTTTTAAAATTACTGGAAAAGTAGCTCCAATGTTTCAAAATCTTCTTAAGTGATTTCTAATGTAATTGAAGTCCCTCTCAACAGTTCTAAACACAGAACATACCACCTCTAGAAAAGTATTTGCGCCATCGTTGACTTGAAACCCAACTAATCGAGCATTCTTGACAAAAAGGCGAATCGGGGGAAATTTTTTTTTTTTTTAATTTTTTTTTTTTTATTTTTTTTTTTTTTATTATTTTTTTTTGTATTATATAAAGATCAATAACGTCATATCTTGAAGAGGATTTTTTTTTTTCCTATATATCTGCGTAACTTTTCCCTACACGTTTTCTTATACCTATTTCCAAAATTTCATCAAATTCCATCGAGCCGTTTTCTCAGAAAAATGCCAACACACATACATACATACACACACACAGAGACGGAAATGTGCCACCTTGCCAAAAAGGCTTAAAATGATCCAAAACGTCAAGATCTAATGAAATTTTGATATGGTCAAAATCGGGCTATCACCATAGCTTCCTATCTAGGAAGCTAATAACATCGATAATACCTGTGTCAAAAAATAACGGCCTGATAAGGTCAAACACAAACTTCTTTTTTGACATATGTCAAATTTCAAGGACGCAACTAAATAGAATTTTTGTTGCCCGACACTTTGGTGATAATGACATTGAAGATTTTCAAGCGCCGAAATCTATTTTTAGGAACAATGATTCGATAGGATTTTTTCCTAGAATAACCTCAAACTTTATCGATTCCGTGCTTCACATTTACTTGATCATTTTGAATCAAAATTTGATTTTACCAGCTTTTAATTCACTAGAAAATGTCTCCAAAGGCAATCAACAGCAGGTGATAGTCACAATTTTGATGATTACCGGCTCTTGATTTGCTGGAGAATTTCTCTAACCAATCAAAAGCCAATGATAGTCCCAGTTTTGATTATGACCGACTCTTGATTCTCTAGAAAATATTTCCAAAAGGCAATTCGGCTCTTGAAAAATAGTCCAGCGAAAGTGAAGCATTTAATCAATGAAATTTGAGTTATTTCCATTCATCCAGCAGTCAAAAACCGATAGTCATTAACTTTATGACTTCTACTGGTACTTGATTCGCTAGAAAATGTCTCCAGAAGGCAATCAAGAGCCAGTGATAAAGTCTGTTTTTTTTTTTAAAGAAAATTCCCCAAGTCAAAAATTTAGTAACTATGTTGGCAACATAAGCCTTTTCTACATAAAAAGTTTGAAAGCATTGACAATTTTACATTGTATTGCCAACAAAATGTCATTTTGACTTTTATCTTTTAAAAAAAAAAACACACTTTAGTTACAATTTTGATTATTACCGACTTTTAATTCACTAAGAAATATCCCCAGTACAATCAAGAGCCGGTGATAGTCACAATTTTGATTATTACCGGCTTTTGATTCGCCAAAAAATGTTCCCAGAGGCAATCGGGAGCAGATAATAGTCACAATTTTGATCAGTATCCGCTATTGATTCGCTAGATGATCGGTAATAATAATAATTCTAATTTTATTAATTAAATGCGTCACATATGCTAAATCATTTTTCAAAAGCCGAAACGAATCAAAATTTTGATTATTATCGGCATCTGAATCACTAGAAAATGTTTCCAGAGGCAATCAAAAGCGGTAATAGTCACAATTTTGATCATTATCGGCTCTTGATTCGCTGGATGATTGGTAACAACTTAACCCTCCGTACACACACATACTTTTTGAAAACACCAAATATACACGTTTTAGGATATTAATAGATGTTTATTTGTTCAAAAAGCCAAACCTAACACTTAAAAAAATTATATTTTTGTACTAAAAAACAAATAAATATTCTGTTACATTGTACCTATGCAAAAAATTCGATAAAAATGTTTTAGTGGAAATAGTTATTTATGCAACAAGTGTGTAAAGTGAACCTTTTTTCACGAATGTGAAACAATGTGCGACAATCACATGAGTGAAAAAAGGTGCTTTACGCACGTATTGCATACAAATTTTTTTCTACTATCAATCAAATATGTGTAAAAAAATAAATTTAGAAAAATACTTTATCATAGCCTAAGGCTGTGGTCCCAATATAACCAGGGTTGTGATTTCGCGGTCTGAAAGTAATCAAATTACACTGGTCCCGAGAAAAATGGTTACTTTCGGACCGCGAAATCACAACCCTGGTTATATTGGGCCCACAACCTTAGGCTATGATCCGAATATAACCAAACGTTAACCAAAGTAACCGAATCGGTTGACAGATGGTTACTGAAAATTCCGGTTACTTGGGGAACGCAAATATGAAATAAAAAACAATTGACAGAATTTACAGATAAAACCAACAGAACCGACATCCGATAGCCGGTAACTATTTTGACATTTTGTTAACCAGATTTCAGGAAACCAAGGTCCAAAAGTAACCACTTTTCCAGGAACCAGAATAATTTGATAACTTTCGGACCACGAAACCACAACCTTGGTTATATTCGGACCACAGCCTTAATATTTTTGTTGAATACACATGCAGAGACTATACTAACATCTTAAGCACGGTCTACACGCAACGATGTATCGTCAGATTTACATGCGCCAATAAATCCTACAGATAAATCGTTACTAACTCAGTGCGTCCACACTATAACGACTTAATTATAGAAAGCTCAAATTTTCCTCTATAGTCTATTTTTTTGAAAGCTGGTATAATTAATCATACTCAACCAATTTTAATCCCCTAAATCCTTTGAAGCGTGAATGAACCACCTACAATAAACGATGAGATGACAGTTTGATTATACCAGTTTTCAAAAAAATAGACTATGGTAGCTCTAGTATAAGAATGTATAAAATAATCATGGAGGAAGTGTTATTGTGGAATATTTTGTTATTTTGTTTAAATGTTAAAATAAGGAAACCTTTAAATGAAAGTAGACGTTCTAGGTGGTGTAGAGAGTATGGTTATTGAAACGAAGTTTATTTTCTCATATACGGTTACTTGAAGAATTGCAAGGGGAGCCCGACAAACGTACACACGTTACGACTTGCATGCCCAAATCTATGCTTTCCGGCTCAAACTTCCAACTCCGAACTCCGACTTTGCATAGTTCTAAAATTTGCTCCAATCTGTCATTCACACGCTACGATTTGTCTGTAACGATTTACTTGCGCATGCAAATCGTAAGATACATCGCCGCGTGTAGACCGTGCTTAAGGGAAATGCAAACGACTTAAGGCCCATCCTCAATCAATCTGGTAGAGAAGTGGCACTTCGGCACGCATGCTAGGATAATATTGTTTAACGTTGGCATCAGTGGCGTAACTACATGGGGGCCGGGCCCCCCCCCATACGCCCTAGAAAAAACTTTAATAATTTGGTATTTTATGAAAGCTACGTTACCTATTATAATTTTATGTTATTACCTACTAAATTTGAACGGTAATGTGCGGCGATCCCAGTCGAACCTATCCGATCCTCCGATCCACCAACGAACGGGCTGTCTGCCATTGTGCCACCCAAAGGTCAGTGCAAATTGCAATGTGCAGAAGTTATACAGTATACCAAAGCCATTAAATTAGCACTTTCCTGTGAATCCGTGAATCGGTGTTGCTGATATACTATATAGTGGCTGATAAGCTGGGTTAGCTAGGTAAGTCATTTGAGCCCAGTTTAGTCAGCTAAACGCTAATAATTGCACTGTTCTACTTTTTTAAAGATTCCAATAATTCGCAATAACAGGCCCTAGGCCACTGACCCATACTACATGGGAGCATTGAGGCAGTTGCTCCCATGACTCATGAGCAACCTCTCATGGGTGCTCGGAGCTCTCGTAGGGAATGCGAAGTACAAACGTATTTAATGGTCATTCCATTCCGTGTGGTAGTATCGTTTGATGTATGTTATTTAAATTTACACAACTTTGTATAAGAATTATACAAGTGGTATTAGTCTTAGTGTACAAACACAGTGCAAGCAGGTTTTTCGCTTACTGGTAGGCAGCGCCGATCTGCGCAGTGTTCTCGCGCCGAGTGAATAACTTCAAAAGAAAGCGAGAAAATCTTTTTAAACTTCAAATCTGCCACCTGCCAGTTGTGTCTCGTCTCGAACTCCTAGCCTAGCAAATATGTCATCTTCGGATGATGATGATTTGATTGCTCTAGATTCGGTGCATACTAAATTAAAAAGAAAAAAGTTGTTATACATATTCTTAATGGTGAAAGAAACCTGTATGGAGAATATTATTTCTCTCCAACATTTGTTGACTTCATTTCGATTGCTATGCTGCTTATGTCTTTTGTCCCAAACAGAGCTGGGCAGGGCTTGAGTGCTTTGTGCTTGCGAAAGTGCTTGAAGCACTTTGAGGGCTTGAAAGCCCTGTGCTTCAAGCCCTTTTATAAATTTGTAATTAGGGCTTGCAAAGTCAATTACTTTAGAAAAGTGCTTGGTAATTTGTAATTGAAAAAAGTAATTCAAGCCCTTTCAATGAGCTTCAATTACTTTTAGAGGGCTTGAAGCACTTTTGGGAGCTTGAAGCCCTTTGAAAGGGCTAGAAGCACTTTAAGAGGGCTTGAAGCACTTTTGGGAGCTTGAAGCACTTTGAAAGGCTTGAAGCACTTTAAAAGGGCTTGAAGCACTTTGAAAGGAATTTGAATTGAACATCACTCAACCTATCCCCCACTTGAAAATTTTCGATCGTGTTTTGTGAATGAACTTATTATTCAAATAAATAATTAATTTATATTGGTATAGTTTTTCCAAATTCAATTGGAACAAGGTGCCAACTGGTGGCTGACTGGTCACTGAAAATTTCCATAAGAAATGCACTGCCACTAGTCAGTCACCGGTTATAATATATGCTCACCTTGTTCCAATTGACTTTGGAAAAACTATAACCTATTTAACTTTATCACTGGATTTTTTCCACTTTTCCCCATTGAACATTTTGAAAACTTTAAAATTGAATTACCATGTAGTACCCCAAGTACCCCAGAACTACATCTCAAAAAAAACATACTACTGCTACTCTGTGAAATGTAAAGTTCGTCTCTACTATACCAATTCTGTGTGATGACTGTACGCGGTAGCTTATGCCACTTTGAGAATTTTATTAGAAATTCAAAGTGCTTTAGGCACATTTAAAGAGCTTCAAGCACATTTAAAGAGCTTCAAGCACATTTAAAGAGCTTGAAGCACATTTAAAGAGCTTGAAGCCCTTTTCAAGGCACCCCAAGCACTTTTGATGTGCTTCAAGCACTTTTCAAATCACTTTGAGGGCTTTGTGCTTGTCAAGCCCAAAGCACTTTGAGGGCTTTGTGCTTGTGAAGCACTTTTGAAAATAAAAAGGAATTTGTGCTTGAAATTGAAGCACTTTGATAGAGGGCTTAGGGCTTAGTGCTTCAAGCCCTTTTACTGAGGGCTTTGCCCAGCTCTGGTCCCAAATAGGGTTTTTTTCAAAAATTGCAGCATTAGTAGTAACTCCTTATCCATCACAAGAACTGAAAAGCACTGCCGCGACGCGTGCAAAAGCAGAAATAAACTAAATTTTCATTCTGGTTAAAGCAAGAACGCTGGTTCCCGCATCTACCTGCCTCTACCTGCTTTTTACTGTGTTGTAGCCGATTCAAAAACATGCATTCATTTTTCGCGCCTATAAGCGCAAGTCATCGCTGGTTACCGGTAAGCGGAAACCTGCTTGCACTATGTTTGTACACTTAGATTAGGGGGGTATTAGTATTTAGACCAGGAGTTAGACGGAAATGAGTATGCAAAATGTGAGAACCGGCAAAAATGCTCAAAACCCTATTCCTGTGATCCTAAAGAATGAGAAAGTACATGTTGCCGGCAGCCAATGCAAAGTTATATTGAAAATATCACAATTTCATGTCATTTCACAATAATTCCTATTGATCCCTACGACCTAAGGCTTTCTTCTCAAGCACTCAAAATAAATTACCTACTACTTGTTGGATATCTTTGCAATTCTGCTCCAAAATATACACAAGTGAAAGAAGACTGCGAGATGTACAGGGTCATCCAACGACGACTGAACATGGGCTTATTTTTGACCTTCCCTGTTCCTGTAGTTTTGAAAAAATTCAAAATAGCCATTTTTTTTTTTTCTGGAGAATACAAAAATAGTACAAAAAAATCACCATTTTTGAATTCTCCAGAAAAAAATATGCCCCCCCCCCCCCCCAGGTCAGATGGCTAGTTACGCCAGTGGTTGTCATCCTCAATTCAATTCCGTGCTAGCATGCACGCTGACTCCGAAGTGTAAGCTTGGAAGCTGCAAGGTTTTCCGATGCGTGTCATGCGCAGTATGGTAAAAAATAATTGGAAAATTGACAGCATTGAGGATGGGTATCAATTTCCCAGCACGCGTGCCGAAGTGCCACTTCGCTACCAGATTGATTGAGGATGTAGCTTTATGGATACAAATTTTGGTCACATGATAGCTGTCAAAAAATTTTTGACAGGTGACCTAAAATTGTTTTGAAGAAATCTGAGCCGTTTTCTTGCGTTCACTTTATTGACATTGCTTCAAAACGTGAAGTGTAGAATGAAACACCAAGAATCAAGGGCCGGTTTATTCACCTTCTGATGCAATCTAACGGATAAAAACACAATAATTGGTAATCCCATTATTCAGTTAGTTATTTGCCGACCAATAAGTAAATTTATCTTACAGATAGCTACCAGGCAGTTTATCTATAGAAGAATAAACTGGGCTTAAAACCGATCAATTATAGCAATAAATAGATGAAAGCTGTGGTCCGAATATAACTAGGGTTGTGGTTTTGCGGTCCGAAAGTAATAAAATTACTCTGGTTCTTGGAAAAGTGGTTACTTTTGGACCTTGGTTTCCTGAAATCTGGTTAACCAAATGTCAAAATAGTTACCGGCAATCAAATGTCGGTTCTGTTGGTTTTATCTTTAAATTCTGTCAATTATTTTTTATTTCATATTTGCGTTGCTGTTAACCGATTTGGTTACTTTGGTTAACATTTGGTTATATTCGGACCATAGCCAAAGATGAATGAAAACGCTACAACAAAAATTTTCATTGGGAAATAGGCATTCGATAAAAATTGCCCTGAATATTTGGCTTATGCAGATGATTGTTTCCATTAGAATCCCATGAGAGAAAATATTAATTTTTATACTGAAAAACCCATTTTTTTCTCATCAAATCAAAATCAGTTAAAGATCGGTCTAGAAAATAACTTATCCACTAATCTTTTCTTACCAATCCGCCGATTATTGTGTATCCAGCTAAAACCACTAGCAACCCGACGTGCTGTAGAACGGCCTTAACGCGAAAACCGCGCCACCAACCGCGCACCCGCGACTTAAAGTCCATCGAGGAACTGATTCGGACGTGCGTCTCGACGCCGATAGCGGCGATCAAAGGCATCGCGACGCGCCTGTCCTCTATATCTTGCAGTTTCATTATTAGGTATGACGAAAATAGTTTTTAATTGTTTTTGTCCCAATACGTCACATCAGTAGAAGAGGAGGTTAAAGATGATGGGACATTTTTTTGGTTGAAAATATCTATAAATAAAAAGGCCTTTTACTCAAACTTCTAAAGACCATGTTATTCGACAACAGAGCTGCCAGTAGGTACTTCAAATAAATTATTTGAATTTTTGGATATTTGTAAGTACTTGATTCTGCAAATATACTTTAAATAAAGTATTTGTATTTGGTACTTGGATTTACAAAAAAAGTAATTCAAATACTGAACATTTGTACTCAAATTACTTAAAATATTTTTGAAATCCTTGAATTGAAAGTAACTACAATCTCCAACTGGAATCTGGAATCTCTGTAGTAGGTACTTTTTTAGAGGTATTACAAGTATTTTAAGCTTTCAATATAATTTAAAAAAATTCATTGAATAATTTAAATTCCTTTTTAGTGGGTACTTGAAGTACTTCTTATTATTTCATATAAACATAGGTATTTCAAATTTTTAATTAAGTATGTAGGTACTCGAAATACTTACAGAGTATTTGAATTATTTTACTTGAAACTTCAAGTTGAAAGTATTTAATATTCGTACTTGTAACATGAATTTCCCGTAATTGATACTTGGTATTTGAAATACTATTTACCAGTATTTGTGACAGCTCTATTAGACAATAGTTAATAAAAATACTCAAATCTTCGAAAAAATCTAAAAAGAATTTCTTTCTATTTAAACATCAAACATAACATCCGATGAAAAGCCAAAAGGTGTATGTACAATTTAACGTAAACCGAAAAATCAACAATAAACAATATTTTGGCACAAGGTTTTAATAAAGTTTCAATCGAAATGAATAGGTATTTATTATTTAAAAATGTTTTAATTGATGTTGTTTATAGGAATTCGGTTTTACCTTTCGTTTATTGACGTCAGCAGATTTTCCAATTTTTAGAATTTTCACGAAAAATAGAAATCAGCCCTTGATAAAAACGTTCCGAATGGCTCGAAGGGCGCGACGCAACTAAACGCAAACTATGTTTTTCTTTTTATGCTGTGCGAATTATTGGGCCCTTTGAGTAAGGGTGGTATTTTCAAAAAAATAAATATTCTTATTCTGCCAATTATTGTATATTTAAAAATTAAAAACCTGAAGGTGTACTATTATTTTTAAAATTTTTGGATTTCAATAAGAAACTTTGAGTCTTGAAATACCTACTTTTGATTTCTAGTGAAAGATAAATTGTTATTTTGGACGTTTTAACTTGAGATTTGAACTTTCTATAACTGCTCAGGGATTATTATTGACTCTTAATAGTTTATTTTCTTTTATAAGAAATCTTGTAACCTTATTATTTTTGGTTCAATTGATTTGAATTTTCAGTATATTTTGCCTTTAAGAATCAAAAATATTTCCTAAAAATCTCATATTTGAGCCTTGAATAGTTTTTGACTAAATAGCTAAAATGTCATATGAAAATGTTCAATTTTAGAAATCTTGTAACTTTGTTATTTTTGGCTCAATTGATTTGAATTTTCAGTATGTTTTGTCTCAAATACTCAAAAATATTCCCTCAAAATCTCATATTCGCATCTTAAATAGTTTTTGAATGAATAATTAAAATGTGGAGGCATGTCATATAAAAATGTTCAATTTTAGAAATCTTGTAACTTTGTTATTTTTGGTTCAATTGATTTGAATTTTTAGTATGTTTTGCCTCAAAGACTCAAAAATATTCCTTCAAAATCTCATATTTACGTCTTGAATAGTTTTTGAGAAAATAATTGAAATGTAAAGGCATGTCATATAAAAATGTTCAATTTTAGAAATCTTAACTTTCTTATTTTTGGTTCGATTGATTTGAATTTTTAGTATGTTCTGCCTCAAAGATTGGAAAATATTCTCTCAAAATCTCATATTTGCGCCGAATAGTTTGTGAATAAATAATAATTCATATCTATATTTATATACAGGATGTCCAGAAAATAGTGTAAAAACTCTCCACTACGTGGTGCAGGATCCTTCAAGAAACCCCAGAAAAATAATTTAAAAAATCTGTTGGCATTTTTAGGAAAGTTTAATCTGGCTGAGCTTAGACTTTAACTCGAGTCTAAAGATTCTTATTCCAAGAACCTTCTAAGGCGATTTTACAGGAATTTTATAATTTTTTCATACATTAATGAGTAAAAAAATTTTCGTATCTTAAGTTTTGAATTTCGTATCAACTTCCAACTTGTTTCGTATTATGAAGAAAGGTATCAATGAGTTAAAAAATTCGTAATTTTAGTTGTAAGTTTCATATCAACTTCCAACTGGTTTTGTATCATAAGGAAACTTTATTCATCAAATCCTGAAAATTTCAAGTTGCTGGAATGGCTGAAAGTGTTTTTCAGAAACCTTCAAAGGTGATCTTCATGATTTTTTCAGGAATTAATGAGTGAAAAAAAAATGGTAACTTTAGTTTTGAGTTTTACATCAGCTTCTAACTTGTTTTATATCATGAAAAAACTTTATTTAAAAAATCTTGAAAGTTTCAAGCTGCTAAAATGATTGTAAGTAGTTTTCAAGAACCTTCAAAGATGATTTTTATGATTCTCTCAGGTATCAATTGGTGAAAAAATTCGTAATTTTAGTTGTAAGTTCCGTATTAACTTCCAACTTGTTTTGTATAATGAAGAAATTTTATTTAACAAATCCTGAAAGTTTCAAGTTGCTGGAATGGCTGAAAGTATTTTTCAAGTTGATTTTACAGAAATGTTATGATCTTCTCAAGTATCAATGAGTAAAAAAAATCGTTACTTCAGCAACTTGTTTTGTATCATGAAAAAACTTCATTTAATAAATCCTGAAAGTTTCAAGTTGCTAGGATGACTAAAAGTATTTTTCAGGAACCTTCGAAAGTGATTTTACAGGAACTTTATGATTTTTTCAGGTATCAATGAGTAAAAAAATTCGTAACTTTAGTAATGACTTCCATATCAACTTCCAGCTTGTTTTGTATCATGAAAAAACTTAATTTAATAAATTCTGATAATTTTAAATTGTTGGGATGAGTGAAAGTATTTTTCGGGAACCTTCAAAGATGATTTTACAGGATCTTCATGATTTTCTCAGGAATCAATGAGTAAAAAAATTGGTAACTTTAGTTGTGAGTTTCACATCAACTCCCAATTTGTTTTGTATCATGAAAAAACTTTATTTAACAAATCTTGAAAGTTTCAAGCTGCTGGGATGGTTGTAAATATTTTTCAGGAACCTTCAAAAGTGAATTGACAGGAATTTTATGATTTCCTCAAGTATCAATAAGTGAAAAAATTCTTAACTTTAGTAATGACATTCATATCAACTTCCAACTTGTTTTTCATCATGAACAAACTTCATTTAATAGATCCTGAAAGTTTCAAGCTGCTAGAATGGCTGAAAGTATTTTTCAGGAACGTTCAAAGGTAATTTTACAGCCTAACTTCATAATTTTCTCAGGTATCAATGATTAAAAAAGTCGTAACTTTAGTTGTAAGTTTCGTATCAACTCCCAATATGTTTTGTATAATGGAAAAATTTCATTTAAAAAATTTTGAAAGTTTCAAGTTACTGGGATGGCTAAAAGTATTTTTCAGGAACCTACAAAGGCGATTTTACAAACATTTTATGATTTTTTCAAGTATCTGTTATATATTTAAAGAAATGACCGAACTTTATTTATCAGTGAACTTTTAAGACAAAACTACAATATTCGCGATAATAAGCACGAGACCGAGCCAACCGACCAGACATTCACGAATCTGACACTTACTGACTTCCACAGTCTTACACTAACCTAACCTAAATTTATTTAGCGTTTTCTAAACTCTAATTCATAACATTTCTTCCCTTGTTTATTAAAGATCGAACCTTAATGGTGGTCTTACAATTCTACCATAACGAGTTTGTGTCGCAGAGGAAACTGAAACTGAACGTCTGCTGAACTGACTATATTGTTGCCCACCTTCAGTTTCCCTTACATAGGGCGATTTGAAAACATTCGAATTTTCCACTGCATTAGGTGACCCTGGTACAGATGCAGGTTGAGATATACACGCCTGGCAAGTAAACATCTTTTATAAACTATATCTCTGCAGCTGTTTGATTTCTTCTGTTATCCATTTACATTTTTTTGACTTCCTTATTCTCATAGGCGCAGATTTTTCTACTGCTTCCTGTATATTTCTAATAAAATTCTGACATACAATATCTACATTCAGTGATGTGTAATTCCAAGTTTTTTCCATTAATTCCCTTTGAATTTAGTACATTGCCTGTTCATTCAGATTTCGGCTGTAAATCACTTGGGGTTCTTCATCTTGTATAATAGGTGATATTCTAACACCAATATTTTCATGATCACTTACTATTAGAAAGTTCCTAGACACTTCTTCCAAAGTGTAGTTATTTATTTCTTATTATATAGTCAATTAATGATGATGGTATTTGTGAAACTAGTTGAAGTTTTTACAATTTGCCTGTACCTAGATCCGTGTATTATGTTTTTAATTCTGTTTCACCAATCCATGTTAAAATCACCCATTAACACTGTCGTCTGTTGATAGAAAAGTTCACTATTTAGTTTTTCCTCTAAGTAATTCAAGAATATCAGAATTCGAGCTTGGTGACCTAGGCATGAACCCAACAATAAATGTGTTTGTTTGTACTGGAAATTTCATTATTAAAATCCAATAAGTATATGCAATCGTATCAATACTTAAAACACTGAACTGGATCTCATCCTTCACGTACATATATAGTACCTACTATAGGCTGCCTTTCCTCTATGAGTTAGATTAAATCCTCCAGATGTGACATGATACCTTGTATATTGATGTGCAATACAATTTCTTCATAGAGCAGACTTGAGCGTTCATCCTGTTTTAGTTGCTATACATAAAGTATTCTGGCCTTCAGTATTTCTATAGCTTTCTGATGTGAAATACAATTTTTTTCAAAGACAGTATGATTGTAGTCTATGTCACTGATCTTCAAAACATTATATGCGAATTTACAATTTGTACATTCCTCAATTTCACTTTTATAATTTCGATTACACGCGGGGGGCATGTAACTATACCTCCTGTCGACAGTTTGCAACTTTGTGTTCGTATTTCCAACACCCAAATACTCATATATTGGAACAGTTTCCCAGCCAAAAAACATTTTTCTGCAACTCTGAAAGCGCCTGAAATTTCAGACGGTACTTCTACTATAAATTTGACATCGTGGCTTGCAACTCCAGTTATACAGTTTTGGCTTTTCAAACCCCTCTTCTGAATTCAAATATTGACCCTTCACATCAACAATAAGCATTTTTGTATTTGCCATTGTATGGGGATTTTAGAAATCATTGAAGATACAGGGTGGACTATATTTGTATCGCATATTACAGCGCTTTTTGCTGGAGGTAGAACAGGGAAAATCGTTTTCATTTTCTATTTAACCTTGGACTTTTTCTAAACATTCCATTCTATCGCATTAAAATTTGCATGTAAGATGTTCACTTGCCAGGCGTATATATTTATAATAAGGCTGCTTTTGGTGAGGCTCTGCACTAGACACTACAGACTCGCCAACCTGATCACTATAACAACTGGTTGCTGTTGAACATCACTAACTTCACTATTATACTATACCTCAAAACCGGCCGATACTCGTATCGATCTAAATCGAGACTCGTATGGTTCTAAACGTAAATCACTTAAATGCACAAACTTTATAATATATGATCAACTTTAATTAAATAGGTACAATAGCTAAGGATCTTCATTACAGTACTTTTCTGCCATAATTTTGTATGCTTGTTTTTCACAAAGACTTAATCGTTTACTTTTGATTATTATGACAGGAAGGCTTCAGTAACTCGAACCTTGTTCTTGGCTTGTTTTTGAAAATACTTTCAGCAGGTGAGATGGAAGGTGTATTCCTGTAAGTAAACAGAAAATTTTGCAATTTATTTAAAATGAACTTTTCTGATACATCTTCACCAAACAA